AGTATGTGTAAATCTGTGCTAAATGGAGGACAATATTTGTTATGGAAGGTTGCCAATGAGGAATTTTGCAGGGAGACAGCTAGGCGAGATGCAGCAGCTGGTTATCCTCAAAGAAATCTAGATATGTTGTTAGGAAAAGGACCTTATGAGGGTCAACGGCAACAAATTGAATATGATCCTGGCGTATACGCACAAATTGCTGTAGATGCGGTTAGGGCATGGAAAACTTTACAGGGGCATGGAGATTTACAAGGTCAATTATCTAAGGTAATACAAGGAACTAATGAACCGTACCCTGAATTTGTAGATAGGCTTATTCAAGCAGCTTCCAGAATTTTTGGGGATACAGAACAGGCAATGCCATTTATAAAACAACTGGCTTATGACCAAGCAAATTGTTGCTGCAGAGAGGTCATTAGACCATGGAGACATGAAGATTTAAACACATATATTAAATTATGTAGAGACATTAATGAACAAGGGCAAGTCTTAGCAGAAGTACAACAGGCTTTAGATGCCAGGCCAAAAACATGCTATAATTGTGATCAAACAGGACATTTTAAAAGGAGTTGCCCCATAGGAGGAGGGTTTAACAAAGCTAGGTATCAAAGGAATAGAATACCGGGTATTTGCCCACGATGCCATAGAGGGAAACATTGGGCTAATGAATGCCGTTCTCAAACCACCATAGAGGGTATTCCATTATCAAAAAACAGACAAGGACCAAGTGTTTACCCACGATATCGTGGAGAAAGGCATCGGGCTCCATTGTCAAAAAACGGACAGGGGGGCCCAATGCTCCGGGGCCCACGACCACAAATGTACGGGTCACTGGAGGAACCCAGAAACACCATGGAGGAACCCAGCAACACCATCAGGGTAGTGCCCAGGACACATTATCTATCAGATCTCTCATCAGACGAACCAGAGGGAGCGCAGGGTTGGACATCTGCGCCTCCGCCAGAGCAGTACTAACTCCAGAGATGGGAGTTCAAATCATTCCCACAGGAGTAAAAGGACCTCTTCCCCAAGGAACAGCAGGCTTATTGTTAGGACGCAGTTCTTCTATGCTAAAAGGACTTATGATAAGTCCTGGGGTAATTGATCCCGATTATGAAGGTGAAATAAAAATTATAGCTAGTTCTCCAAAGGGTATATCAGTAATTTCACCAGGAGATAGAATAGCACAGTTATTAATAATACCCAGCCTACATGATAAATTTTCCAGTAGTACTATAGAAAGAGGTTCCAGGGGATTAGGCTCCACAGGTGTAGATTGGGCTATGCTGTCTTTAAATTTAGATTCTCGCCCCATGCTAAAACTAAATATTCAAGGACATGAATTTAATGGGCTACTGGATACAGGTGCAGACCTTAGCATCATCTCTCGTCAAGAATGGCCAAAACATTGGCCATTACAACAAGCCACTCAAACGCTTCGAGGCCTAGGAGTGGCAACTAATCCCCATAGAAGTGCAATGGTATTAGATTGGAAGGATCCTGAAGGATGTGAAGGAACTATACAGCCATATGTATTGGATCATCTTCCTATAAATTTATGGGGACGAGATGTCCTAGATCAATTAGGTTTGACATTAACAAATAACATCAATCCAAATGCGCCCACTATTAGGGCTAGACAAGGTTTCAGGAAAGAAAAAAGATTAGGAGAACAAGGCATAGCAGCACCAATTCAAATAGATCAAGGAATAAATAGACATGGACTGGGTTTTCAGAAGGGGTCACTGAGGCAATAAAAATTACTTGGAAATCAGAAAGACCAGTATGGGTTCCTCAGTGGCCCCTGACTAAAGAAAAGATACAAGCAGCCCATGACCTGGTCAAACAACAATTAGCGGAGGGACATATACAACCTTCCGTATCTCCTTACAATACTCCCATTTTTGTCATTAAAAAGAAATCTGGTAAATGGAGATTATTGCAAGATTTAAGAGCCATTAATAATGAGATGGTTATTATGGGACCTGCTCAATCGGGGATTCCTCAATTGTCTGCTTTGCCAAAAACCTGGTACGTTTTAGCTATAGATATTAAATATTGTTTTTTTTCAATTCCAATTCATCCTGAGGATAGTCCACATTTTGCATTTACTATCCCTGCACTGAATCATGAAGGTCCTGATCAGAGATATGAATGGAAAGTACTCACTCAAGGGATGGCTAACAGCCCAACTATGTGTCAAATTTATGTTAACAAAGCAATCCAGCCACTTAGAAATCAAAATCCTAAACTACAAATATTTCACTATATGGATGATGTATTGTTAGCACACAAAGATAAAAACACATTGCTAGAATGTTATGCCACACTTACAAATTTATTAAAAAATTATAATCTAGAGATAGCAATAGATAAAGTACAATTAAATTTTCCAATTAATTATTTAGGAGTTCTATTATGTTCAACGATGGTCCGTCCACCAAAAATTCAAATACGAGTAGATCAACTCAAATCACTTAACGACTTTCAAAAGTTATTAGGAGACATAAATTGGATAAGGCCTTATCTAGGCATACCAACAGGAGAGTTGGGACCTTTATTTGATATCCTAAAAGGTCCATCAGATTCAAATTCACCCAGCATGTTAACGCCTGAAGCAAGAAAGGCATTAAAAATTATTGAAACATATATGGAAAATATGCATTTGGATAGAATTGATATAACTTTGCCTTTATTACTTATTGTAATACCAACAAAAAATATTCCTACAGGAGTATTTTGGCAAGAAGGTCCATTATTGTGGATACATTTATCTTATTCTCCTAACACTATTCTTACTAGGTATTCTGAGGCTGTAGGACAATTAATACTCAAAGGAATAAAAGCAGCAAAGGGAGTGTTTGGAATTTCTCCCAATAAAATTATTACTCCATATACTATGGATCAAATTGATGAGTTAGCTAATGAGTTAAATACTTGGGCAATAATCATGTGTAAATCTAATGTTTCATTTGATAACCACTTACCATCTAATCCTTTGTTGTCTTTTTGGTCTTTGCATCCTGTAGTTTTTCCAAAAATGACAAGAAAAACCCCTATCATGAATGCTCCAAATGTATTCACTGATGGGTCAAATAATGGTACAGCAGCAGTAGTTACCCCTGATCAAACTTTTACATTTTTAGTACCCAAACAATCAGCTCAAAAGGTAGAGCTTAATGCAGTTTTACAAGCTTTTGTGATGTTTAAAGATTCTGTATTTAATTTATTTTCTGATAGTCAGTATATAGTTAATGCTATAGTATCCCTTGAAGATGCTGGCAGGATTTCCCCTTCCTCTACTGTTTTCTCTTTGTTTTCTGCTATACAAAGTCTAATCTGGGACAGAAAAGATCCATTCTTTATAGGACATATCAGAGCACATACAGGATTGCCTGGAGCCCTTAGTTTGGGCAACGATTTAGCAGATAAAACTACACATGACATACATATTTTCTCTACACTAGAAGAAGCTACACATTTTCATAAAAGGTTCCATGTCAATGCTAATACTTTACAAAAGCGTTTTAAAGTAACTAAGGAACAAGCTAGACAAATAATAAAACAATGTCAAAATTGTGTGACCTTTTTACCACAAGTTAATCTTGGAGTCAATCCTAGAGGACTGATACCTAACAATATTTGGCAGATGGACGTCACACACTTGCCACAATTTGGAAAATTAAAATATTTGCATGTTACAGTTGATACTTCTTCCGGATTTTTGATGGGCTCCCTTCATTCCGGAGAAAAAACTAAAGATGTTATAGCTCATTGCTTACAAAATTTTGCCACTGTGGGCGTTCCAAAACAGTTAAAAACAGATAATGGTCCTGGTTATACTTCTACCTCTTTTAAACAATTTTGCTCATCATTTGGCATTACTCATATAACAGGAATCCCAAACAATCCTCAGGGACAAGGCATAGTTGAAAGAGCTCATCAAACTATTAAAATGTACTTACTAAAGCAAAAAGAGGGAATTGGAAAGGGGTATATATCACCCAAAGATAAACTTAAAATAACCCTTTGTACTCTAAACTTTTTAAATTTGGATTCATCAGGGCTTAGTGCTGTGGAAAGGCATACGTGTCCAAAAAATGTACATAAGCCTAAGGTACTTTGGAAGGATATTCTAACAGGACAATGGAAAGGTCCTGACCCAGTGATTGTCTGGAGTCGGGGTTCTGTTTGTGTTTTTCCACAGGGAGAACAGCAGCCGATTTGGATTCCAGAGAGATTAACTAAAACAATTTCTACAGACCAAAAGGAAGATGATTTGACTCAAATCCATAACAGCTGATATCCAGAACTCCAGTTTGGCTATTCTTACATCTGCGACAGTGATTAACCAGGATGCTTTTTTCAATATTTATTTTATTATTTGCCTTTTCCCACATCATAAAGTTCTATTTTATTTTTGAGCTCATACAGACCTAGGTTAATGTTTTTCTGATCAGTTTTATTTTTTGACTGTGGAGTTTTTAAGCATTGCAATGGATATTTCACCTAGGTAAAGCTACAAGGCCTTTACTATTGTCTTATGTGTTGTATGTTATGTGTGCACACTTCTGTTTTTTGTTGTATGTCTGTATGTGCGTATGTCCATATATCATATATGAGGAGTGCTCATGAATAAATGGACCCGAATTTTTTTATTCACGTGATTTTAATGGTTTAATTTAGATTGGGTAAACAGCTGTTGAAAATTGTTTTAATATGTGAACAAATAAGGAGGTTAACAGATCTGTTTGTTTACTTTCACCTTTCCTTCTCATTATATTTAATAATTCTGTTCAGGATAATGTAAATTGTTCAAAAAATTGTTTTCTTAGTGCCTGTTGGAATGTTACATAATTTTTTTCTTAGCATCATTGCCAGAATTCCTATCTTCATCCCAGTGCCGGTGAAGACAAACATAAAACCAAACTACAGCTTCTTCGATAGTTATCACAACAAACTGTATAAACTGATGCATCAATGAATAATAACTCAACAAGTAATGCTCAATCAAGGAGTCGATTTACTTTGGGAGGAAATGGACATATTGACAGATTCCTCTGCTTTGAACTGCTTGCAGAACTTGCCTGGACTATGTATCACTTGTATGCATTGTGAACTATCTGTTGGTGCAGCGAATTGTGGTAGTGCTGGAGTATTTTTGCTGATGGTGTCACTGGTGGTACAATTTTTCAAAGGAGCCCTCAATTGGCTTAGTGTCATGGCATTTTGCATCCTCCTCCCTTCTACTAGTGATGGTCTAAAATTTGGGGGCCAACAGAGGTGAGGCAAAGAACCTCACCCCCCCACTGGCACCAAGGCCAAATTTGGGGGCCAACAGAGGTGAAGCAAAGAACCTCACCCCCCCACTGGTGCAAAGGCCTATCCACAAGTATGGCTGTATGCTGGACCGGTAGTCAGTGACGGGTATGATCCAATTGCAGTGGTACCAACCTAAGACAGGAGGCTGACGCCTAGAGGTCAGTTCATCCGATGACGGGTAAGGACCATATGTTGAATTGGACTGCCTAATAGGCACGGTCCCTAAGCCACATTGCTTGTTGTTTAATTAAACAAAAAGGGGGTTCTGCTGAGAGCCACAGCCGAGTCTGTATGGCCCCTGGCATTTGATTGACAGGCGAGGCATTACTATCCGCCTCTGCTGCAACTTTTGAGTTCTCGCACTATTTTGGAGTTCTCGTGGGGATTTCCGGGGATTCCCCGAGAGTTCCCATTGGTTGGGGAAGTGCAGGAGGAGGGATTTCTGGGAGAGATATTTCCGGCTGGGGGTTCCTGGACAAGCCACCTGGCGTTCGGGAGGATTCCCCGGGAGCTGTGTGAAGTGTTTTCCTGCAGTTCAAAAATAGTTTGTTCCTGCTTCAGTGGCTCGTGATTTGTGCCCAGCCAGACTGCGGCAGGGTTCTGATAAAATACATTTTTTAAAAGGTTATGGTTTATGCCCAGCAAAACACTGAAGGTTTATAAGAATGGTCATAGTTTCTGTACAGAAAGTCAAATGTTAAAGGTTTCTGTCCATTCAGACTTGAACTTTTGGAATAAACGACCAATATGAGTGCCCTCCTCTTTGTTTCCTACCATTTACAGATGTTCTGCTACAGTGTATATTTAGTAGGCTATAAACATGTCCTTTGACATTACAAAGAATTCTAGCCTTTCAAAAAGTTAAGAGGTGGGAAGGAGATTTGTTTAATAACATGACAAGCAAACCCTAAGCAGCATAACAGGTACATTAGGAATGCACCTTGCAACCTAGATAATTAATTTGTAACTAATAACTTTTAATGAGTGCCCACCTATGTCTAGGATCTCCTGACCAACTAAAGGAGTGTTCCTCTCTTGTGGAACAAAGATCCTGGGATAACCCTGTAATTTTATGGGTATCCTTTTCTATCTACCTTGAGCCACAATTATGAGTTCATAAGCCATTTTATTTTTCCTTTACAGAGGCAAGAGACAATTCCTTAGTTTGTCAACCCACAATGGCATCCCTAAGTCCACAGACCTTGTTCAAGAATCCCCACAAATTTTAAAATGAGCCTCTCAAGTTCACAATCTCAATTCCCAGGACCAGAGGTAGAAAAAACTCATAAATCCATGATTTTCTTACTATTTTTAGAGGGATCTTTATATATCCTGAATACAAATATCCTTTATTAGTCAAAGAATTCCATTAACCAAAACAGTCTATTCTATTGCCTCAGATCCAAGTCTGAGGCACTTCAGGGATGGGAGAAATGTTTATGGGGTTTTACACATTGTGTCCCAAGAGTGATACATGCAAGAATCAGAATTTTAGGGAAGATGCTAAAACCTGTTGCACACCAACTACTGGGTTACCACTGCAAGACATTTGAAAGAAAGACATGGTGGGAAGCAGTGGCAAAGAAGGACCTTCTTTGTGGGCACAGTAAACTACAGAGGTAAGCAAGGTAAGGACATAAGAACACTATGGTGGGTATGAGCCCAGTGGTCTCCCATTTCACACACAAGTCCTCAGGCTGTGCCTCTGGAATATTACTGCAGTCCTGTGAAACAACCTTGCAGCTGTCTTTCAGTTCATCTTTTTTTTTTGTACCAGGGATTGAACTCAGGGCATCTCGACCACTGAGCCACATCCCCAGCCGCTTTTCAGTTTTTACTTAGAGAAAAGTTCTAAGTTGCTTAGCACTTAGCATTGCTGAGGCTGACTTTGAACTCACAACTCTCCTCTCAGCCTCTCAGTTCATCTTGAATCCCACACAGTAGCCCCCTTTCCTTTCTACGCTAAGCTGCCACAAGGCTTTGGTGGTCTCTGAATTGTACCCAGGCTCACTTTGTTCTGTTTGTGGCTTGTTTGGTCAAGAGAATGTCATAGGGCTCTTTCCGCCTGAGCTTTCTTGAAATTCCTTTCATAGATCTTGTATCCCGCTAGAATAGCATGCTGTATGGATTCCAGGTGCCCTGGCCAGCAGAGGAACCCAGGACCTAAATGAGCACTTGATAGTAAGAAAGGGACACAAAAAAGAAACCCCTTGGGGTGGAATGAAACTACTGAAACACCAGCTAGATGACTAGGTTGACAGGGCCTGAGACCTGGAACCTGGTGGATTGTGGAGTTGCAGCTCAAGTTCACCTTAATCCTTGGAAGGGCTTCAGGCCACTGCAAGCCTGTTTATTGCAAAGTTTGTTTTTTTTAATGCTGCAGACTTGCTCTATCTCACTGCAACTTTGAAGTTTTTAAGTGGTATACTGTTTGTGATTTATATGCACGTTGAGAAAATTTGCCCCACAAAATGTGAATATTAGTCTGTTTAGATTGGAGGATCTTTTCTGAACTTCTGGGTAAATTCTTCTGACTGCAGTAGCATACAGGGTCCAGTAGGGGTCTCCTAAGACTTCCTGGAGAATAAATCATGCCTACTCAGATCCAGCAGATGGCTCCCAACACTCCAATGCTCTTACAGGGTGTTTCCCTTACTCCTAGTGACACAAGAAAGGGCGTGTATGTGTTCAGCGAACCCAGGTGCACACCAAACATTTCTTATTGGATGAATTTTGTCCTTTAATAAAATGCTCAGACTTAGATGGGCAGGGGGCAGGACCTCAATGTAGGCTATATTAGATGAAAGGGACATACAGGTGTCCAGCCAGCCTTTTCTATGCAGGCCTCTGCTATCATTCTCAACATAGAAAGTGACAAGGGGTTGAGGATCAGAACAGTGTGCTTGTGGATGTGTCTCCCAGGTGGACTGCTTTATCTCAAGCATTTATCTGCATGTACTTCAACAGCTTTAATTTAAAACTTTCCTGGTACTAATTCATACTAATAAACCCAATACACTAAGCTTATAAATAAAAGTAACATAGATGTTCCAATAGTAAGAATAATTTAGTAAGATTTCACCTTAAAATAAAAACATCTAAATTCTTCAAACTTTCCAAATTGGATTGACAGAGTCATCATTCTCCCCAACTAAATTTGTCCTTCTTTAACAAATACATAAAAGAGCAAATATACAAAATAGCTTCTTAACATGCACAAAATATTAATACAAATGGGTCTTTTAAGTATTTGTTTTATTCCAAAGCTTTCTAGGTTAAAAGATGTTTACTCACCTAAGAAGGCAGTTACTACACCAGAACCTATTTACTAGCAGACAGTGTCTATAAGAGGCTGAGGATCTTGTCTGATACCCCAATGGGCAACACCAGACTCTCTATATAATTATATTAATGATTCCATAACTTCAAGGGGGACATAACTGGGTTGAATGATGATGTCTGAGATTTGCTTTGAAGTACTTCAGAAAAGAAAGCTTCCATATAAATACATACCTAACTACATCAATAAGGGAATGATCATCTAAGCTACTTCCCTGTATTCAACTTATATATTATCCATTTTTTCTCCTTAAAAGTCTGTAGCTCCTACCCAAGTTCATCAGTTTGAAATCTTTATATAAATGTACCTATATTAAGATATGTAAACATATTTATATCTAAGGGTAAAGATATATAAATACCTCAAGATCTTTAAACTTAATGTTCCATAGTAAAGTCTCTGTTTAATTTTACAGTATTAACACTGTATAGAACTGCATATTCATTCATATTCATAGGGCCACATAAATGCTTAGAATCCTTAAAATTAGATCCAACTAGATTTTGGATATTTTACCTGACTTTGATTGACTCAAGATCAGAATTTACAGGTTCATTCTAATATTCCACGAGTCAAAAAGTGTCTCTTAACTGCTATTTTTAATATTTCTGTATTCTCCATGATACTAATAAATAATTTAACATCAACAGGATTGAGGAACAAGCCATCTACTATCTCTTACACTTTTTTAAAAGACAGGCTGGCCCCTGCTGGCCTCCAACTCCTGGGCTCAAGCCATCCTCCTGCCTCAGTCTCCTGAGTACTTGGACTATAAATGTGTCACTATGCCTGGTTCTTAGAATATTTTTTTCCACTTTTCGCTTTCCTTATTCTTATGAACTCATGTCTTTTAACAGCTTCAAGTATTTCACAGCCATATTCTCCTTTTGATGCTTCAACTGTCACAACTTCTCAGTTTTTAAAACCTGTCTTTTGGTTGGTTCCTGGGTCGTTTTCAGATAATCATATTAATTTTTTAAAACATCCTTGTTTTCTGGCAGATACACAAGAGTGCTCCAAGCTCCCAAACATAAAATCTGCCATTTTTCTAAGGATCCTATTAACAGAATAAAGGCATTTTAAAGTCAAAATGGAATCATGAAATGATTTTGCTACTGAGCTACTGCAGCTGACAGAGCTGAACACATACATACTTTTTTCCACATATGGGTGAGAGTTCATATGATACTTAAAATTTAATTCTTACAACAGTGTTCCTAAGTTCTGTGTCGTACTTTTGTGTTTGTGTGGTATTCTGTGTTTGTACTTCTTTCATGTTGAAAATCTTGATTCCTAGAAAAAATACATGTAATCAATAACGTTTTTATCTAACAAAAGAAAATGGTTTTTTAATACAATATTAATATGATCAATAAAGTTACAGAATAGAGTCTGATTTTGTAATAGTTTGTTTTTAAATACTGTCTCCTAGACTGTCACTCTCATTAGTTATGTAAATTGTATTCTAGAGCTGCACTGTCCAATACGATAGCCACTAGCTATTATGTGGCCATTGAGAATTTGAGAAGTGACTCGTCCAAACTGAGAAGTTCTAAAAGTAGAAAGCACTGGTGTGGTTTAGATTATTGGGGACATGCCCTTGAAGGGAATAGTAGGACCCTGCCCTATTCCCTGTTCTACTCACTCTAGCACACTCCTTTCATGATATGCCCACCCTCACAAGATACCCAAACCAATGGAATCACCTGATCTTGGACTTGAACCTCCAGAACCATCAGTCAAAACCTTTTCTCTTTATAAAATTAATTTCCTCAGGTATTTCATTGTACTAATAATATGCTGCCTAATACAAATACACACCAAATTTCGAAGACAATACAAGCACAAGAATGGAAAAGATTGCAATATTTTTGTGTTGCTTACATCTTGAAATGACATTTTCAATTTTTTGTGCTTTCATTTCACCTGTTTCTCCTAACCTTTTTAGTGTGACTACTAGAGAATTTTAAATGATACATAGCTCACTTACTTCTATTGAATAGACCTAGTATGGAATCACTCCTAGTTGTACATTCTGTGTGTAGTAATGTAGTTCCTGAATCTAGCAGATGGACTGGTGCTGCTTTTTCCATTCTAATTTGATGGCACTGAATTTCTAACAGCTAATGGCCCTAACATCTTAAAAGATGAACGCTTTCTGCTATTAGATTGTTTTGGGTACAGATACTCTTAGAAAAAGGGGAGAATTTGCTCTCTCCAAGAATCTCAGTCTCCAGAGTTTTATTTCACTACCTTAAAACCATAAGATGATTTAAAGCCAATTCTAAGTAGAAAATTCATAGGCATGGTTTCTGACTGAATAAACTGGTACTGCATTATTTTGTTTAATTTCTAGTATTATAAGGACCCATGTTTTTCCACATGTTCAGTTGATTTTGAACTTACCAAAACCTAATAAAAAGAAATTTCTTAACACGAATAATTGCATTTTGGGCATCATGGTCCATGAAGGAGAGTCAGGACAGTAACCACAGTAATTTGAACAGGAAGTTGTTCACTTATTAACTCAAGAGACATAACTACTACAAAAGAATAAAAGAGAACTCTAAATAAATACCATGGGATGCAGGAGAATATTTAAGGAAGGCATTACCTTGAAAGGGGAGAGGCTCCTTTCAAGGCTAGGATGCAGATCTCTTAGGGAGAGTGTGACTGCAGCCACTGGATGGCAGAGAAGCTTACTGGGTTGCTGCAGCCAGAGCTGTCCACAGTCAGCAGCTGGGGCTGGCAGAGAGGAAACCCTGGACTATGACTTGACCAGTAGGACCCTCCACAACTGGAGTACTGGAAGGCAGTTTAGAGGGCATTTCTCTGCCAACAATAGAAGCAATTGCCCGCCACAATGTCCCATTAGTAAATCTTAACATTGTAGCAGCAGCAAGGGAGAGATTTTCATTCATCACAATCAGAGCAGCGAAGATTTGGAAAAGGCAGGCATTAAGCGACCCCAGGCACACCTCCTCTAGAGATGGAAGATGTGTATTTTCATTCTTGGGGTGTTTGAATGGGTCCATAAGAAGTTTTTCCCTGAAAAGAATTTCTCTGATATCCTTAATGAGGTTTTGCCAATTCTCTTGGGTGTGGGGGACAGTAAAAGAGTCCATCTTTTACCGTTTAAGCCTTGTCTCCTCAGATCTCTGAATCCATCTGGCCATGATGAGAGTTCCCTTTTCTGTTTCAGGAAATTTTAGTTCCAGGATCACTTTCAGAAAACCATGGGTTGTGAGTCATCTCTGGTACACCAATCCAAATATTACAGAACAAAAACATTAGAATTAACTGGCTTGAGGGAGATTAGAGTTCCCTTCTTCACCTACATGGAGCTGCTCATAGACATCTACTGGGACTAAAGAAAAACAGAATGTACCTGATTTTGAAGAGTCTGAAGAGGGATACAAGAGAGTTCAGACTGTTCAACAGACCAACAGGTCCTGTGTTTGATGTTTGCCAGAAACAGCAAAACATTTCAGAAAAGAGAAAGAGCCCAGGGATGGAACTTAAACACAGTGTCACCTGTAGTGGGAGGCAGGAAGGACACAAAAGACCTTACCACATCTCACCAGGTGGGCACCTGGTGTCCTGCATTACAGCTCTGCTCCTCTGAGAGGTGCTGTTACTTCATATTTTGTTAGCTATGACACATTTGGGAGGAATGCGTCAAACTCCTTCTACCTCTACACATATTCCCTGGAACACCTTGCAGTCAGTCAAAGGACAGCCCCTTCAAATTTCCCTATGGCCTGTTCTATGTCCCTTTTGCCTCTCAGATGGCATGAAGAGACTCGGAAAAAAAAATTACATGGCAGAGCATAGAGTGGAGATGAAAGGGGCTGGTGTTCAATAGACCATTCTAGTCTTGACTCTGAAATCTTCATGCTTAGGAAGAAGCTGTCCCTTGTCCTAACTATACAATGAGAGCGTCTACACTCCAGAAGCCCATCTGAAAAATCAAAGTGTGAAAGAGGTGACAGCTGGGACTGGGAAGAAAGTGAAGAGAATAAGGAGCCAAAGCAAAGGCTCTGTGCCTGGCCTCCTGGTATCAGCATTGGGGAAGAGGTGACTCATCTGGACCCACCCAGAATTGCCCATTATTCCTGGCCCACCCTCTCCCCTTTTCCTGACCTCCTCAGGAAGAAAATTTGAGAAGTCATAGGATTACTTGAGTCATCAGCTATTGCCTGGAGCACAGTTATGTGGATCATTTATTTGCCCCAAGTGAGCTAATCTTGTTTGGAAGTTGACACACCTATGTGAACACGTACACAGCAATTTTCCTGTGCCTTACCCCTACCAAAGTCCAATTTGCCACCTTCTGTATACTCTGCATTGATGAAATGTGTATCTTACACATGCCAACCCCTATGGTCCTCCCGCTGACCCCTGGTGTTCTCCCCTTTCTCTCCATGTAAAGTTCACCCACTTTTCCACCCTGCTCAAATCCATTCTATACCAGGAGACCTGCTCTGTGCCTCTTCTAATGCTCTAATTCCTTCCAGTTTCAGTCTGTTTGATGTTCCCCTCTCCTAGCAGTGTTCTGCCCTCAACTGGCTGTCAATAAATGTGTCCATGACCATCATAATAAAGATACCTTTTAATCCACTGTTCTGTAAAACTGAGTCCCTGCTTGTATTGTCCTCCTGCTTTACTTATGGGTACTACTAAAAATGAAGGTCTTACACTTCATAAATAATTCTATTCTCAGGTTACTGAAGAGCTTAAATCTAGCTTGACACCTTCTTCATCACATTGTATCTGATAAGAAAGCACCAGGAACCCCCCAATTATCCCAGAAATCATCAGTTTGTGTCCCAAATTAGAAAGAATAAAGTGTCTAGCTGGCATGCGAGATGAATCCACCCCTCCAGGTCTCATGCCCTCAGACCTGACAGGCCTCAAAAAAACAGGTGAGCTCTAGGAGAAAAACAGGCTTTGAAAACAACCCCTTTGGGCTCCTCCTGATGTGACCCTCTCAGGTGAGCTCGATCTGACTTTCCTCATCTGTAATTGAAATGTAATATAAGCATCCTTTTACCTATTCCAGCAGGGTTAGAGCTTATGACCAGAGCTTTCCTCTCCCTGTTGACTTTACAGATATTCTTTAGGGCTTATAGTTTCTTTTATGGAGAATATTGAAGGGTGTATTACAATTAAAAGGCAATTTGCCTTTTCCTCACTACCCAAAGTTGGCAAACAACCATCATCAAGTCCTGATAAGGAGTGTTGGGGCCTCTCCCTCTGGGTGACAGTGTCCAAGTGGAGGCTGATGAACAGATACCAGAAGACTCTAGGGTTGTTCCTACCTCACAAGTCTCTTTCTCATGCATAGGGAGAAAGATAAAGTAGACAAGCCAAACTCCTAGGGCCCCCATCTTGGCACTTGGTCAAATCCTGTCTTAAGGTTTCCCTTGTAAACATCTTATTTTCTGTACTAAACTGTAGATTCCCAAGAGGTGGAATGCACTGCCTTTCTTCTGCTCCAGTCTCCACAGTACGTAGCCTATGTTTAAGAGGCTCACCGTTTAAGAGGTCCTCAGTGACCACTAGATTATTTCATCCATCCAGTGGCATGCTTTAAAGCTACCAACAGATATAAAGTTTCAGAGGAAGAAATCAGAAACAGTCCCTGCACAAAGAAACCCTAATATCAGAGTTTAGAAAGACTGACTTGTAATAAAGATTATAACACAGGTATAAAAACTGGCAAGTGATAGAAGTTCAAATGAGGAAACTATACATTACTTTCTTAATCCACAGGGAGATGGGTTAAGAAAGATAAAATAGATGAAATTCTTTGGACCTCAATCTCCAAGGATGAATAGTGTTTACCAGGTGAAAAGCGAACATCTAAAAACTCATATAAGTAGAAGAGTCAAACCCAACAACAGTAGAATACATGTTCTTCTCAAGGACACATGGAGAATTCTACAGGACAGACCACATAGCAAGTCTCAATACATTTAAAAAATTTTTTTTAGTTGTAGTTGAACACAATATCTTAAGAACTGAAATAATATATATTCTCAGGGAAATACAAATCACAATGAGATATTACTTCAAACACACTAAAAATGGCTATAATTTTAAAAGAAAGATAATTACAAGTGTGAAGAAATGGAACCTCCTTACACAGTGCTACTGAAAATATAAAATGTTGCAACCACTTTGGAAAATAATGTGGCAGTTTCTGAAAAATTTAAATATTATCCATCTCGGAGTATGCCCAAGAAAATTGAAATCATATGTCCCTAGAAAAAAACTGTATGTGAATTCTCCTAACAACATTATTCATAATAGCCAAAAGTGGAAACAATACAAATGTCCATCAACCAATGAATGAAAAAAAATGAAAACTGAAAAAAAAGTGGCATATATCCTTGAAGTGGAATATTATTCAGCCATTTTAAAGAATAATACATGCCACAGCATGGATGAATCTTTGAAAACATCATGCAAAGTAAAAGAACCAGATATAAAAGCCCACATATTATATTATCCCATTTACGTGAAATTCCAGAATAGGCAAATACATAGAGAAATAAAACAGTGGTTGCAAGGGTAGAGATGAGGACAGCAATGCGGAGTGACAGCTAATGGGTGTCACTTGTGTTCAGAATAATAAAAAATGTTCCAGAATTAGACAGTGGTGATGATTGTACAATTCTGTGAATATATTTAAAACCACTGAATTTTACACTTTAGATGGGTGAATTTTTATATATAATTATCTCAGTGTTTTAAAACTCAGACCCAGGTCATGGTATTAGAATCATAATATTACATATTTAGTATAGAACAAAGTGGTACTAATTAAATTTTTTTGTTCACTGTAATCATGTTAAGGGAGAAAAACAGAGTATAAAAGACAATAGAGGGGCTGGGGTTGTGTTCCAGTGGTAGAGCGCTCACCTAACTTGTGCAGCCTGGGTTCGATCCTCAACACCATAGAAAAATAAATAAATAAAATAAAGGTATTGCATCCAACTACAAAAAAAAAAAAAAAAGCAATAGATTTTAGTAATACATTTTGCAGAAGTTTATGGAGCCTGTAACCCAGCTACTTGAGTTTATGGTGATGCCTGTAACCCAGCTACTTGAGAGGCTGCAGCAAGAGGAGAATGAATTCAAGCCCAGCCTGGGCAATGCATAGAGACCCCATCTCAAAAAAAGAAAAGAAAGTTAATTCAGGGGAGTCCTTGCCAACTATGTACCTGTACTAATTGCTTTAGAGTATACAAAGTTGAATAAAACACAGCTCCTCTCCTAGGGAGAGGTTTAGAAGTTAATGGGGCAATTTAGAAGAGTGAACTGAGGGCCAAAAGAGGTTTGGTTCTGCGTGCCTATCTAAGTACTGGGCGTGTTGGGGAAAACCACCAGACTTCCAGTTCTGGGAGTCCCACACAGGCCTCCAAAGGAAGAGAATGACTGGAGAGATGAAGGCTGACAGTCTGCCAAGGAGAGACACTGGAATAAGTTATAAAATGAAAGTCACACCTTTATTTACCAGACAGAAGAGTCAATAGTCATAAACCCTTTCGGGCCCCAGTTGAGGAGAGATTGGACCAGATTACTCTGAATCCTGAATTAATTTAGCACTGTTAAACAAAAATTATGTTAAGAGTATTATTTTGGACTGAGCTCCTGTACTAGGCCCCAACAGACCAGACCAAACCAAAATGGAGCCATTCATGCCAAATGCCACATCATCACACTGAAACTCTTAATGAAATATACCCCAAAACAGACCAGTAAATTTTTTTCCTGAAAATGGTAGATTACAGTCTACTGGAAAGAACAAGGAAGTCGCCTCTTCTTCAACCTTGGGAAAAAAAAAAACTAAATTAGAGGGACAGCATCATGCAAAGACAAATACCAAGTGAGCTTTCATTAAAGGCTTCTTTGATTCATAAATCACAAATAAAAGCTAATTAGACCTACAATTAAATGTTATTTTGCTTTTCTTGCTACCTCTTTAAACCCTATGGCCACTGTTTACACTTTCTTATTCATTTCATAACCTATAGATCATTTGTGTGAAGTATGATGTGTAACTTCAGCATTACAAATATTAGTAATTAAGATAGGAAGAGAATTAAAGAACTTGAATTGCCCAGTTCAGGGCTATCAAGTGAGCCATAAGTACTTGGTGAATCAATGCTGATGAAACATAAAGCTTGTGAATTTACTATTATTCAATAAATTCTGACATGTTTAATGTACAGCTCACTCATAACACTCAACAGGCAAGAGATAACTTTTAAAAAATACAACCTGGGTGGGAAGAGAGAGTCCTTCTCCCTTTTTAGAAAAGTGAAAAAGACCAGAGACAAACTGGGATGTGGTGGGTCTGGCTGTCAATAAATGAAATGTAACCTAGTCTAGCCCAAGTGATGGAAGAGGGACAGCATCATGCAAAGACAAATACCAAGTGAGCATTTTTTTTTAAAGAGAGAGAGAGAGAGAACTTTTTAATATTTATTTTTTAGTCATTGGTGGATACTGCTGCAGTCTGGCTGGGCACAATTCAGAAGCCACTTGTCAAAAGAAACAAACTTTATTTTTAGAACACACACACCACACCACACAGCTCCTCAGGAAAACCCTCAAAGCCCAACTGCCACCACCGGCTTCCCACAAGCCTCTTCACCTCCCCCACTCCTCCTGCTCTTGAGGCCGATTGGCTGGGTCACGTGGGCGGAGCCAAAAAAAAAAGTCCCCCAAAGAGTAGTTCTGTGGTCTGAAAGGGCAGGGAAACGGCCCAATGAGCATCACCTCAGAGGAGTCAATCAGTTGGCAGCTAGAAGTTTGCTGGGGCCGCTGTGAGCCAATCATCAGCTGTCAGCTGGAAATTTGCTGGGGCCCCTTCGGCTGTGGCTCTCAACAGGACACAACATCTTTGTTTGACACAACATCTTTGTTTGTACATGGTGCTGAGGATCGAACCTGGGCTGCACGCATGCCAGGCGAGCGCCCTACCGCTTGAGCCATATCCCCAGCACCACCAAGTGCGCATGTTTGACCCATGTCATATGATCAGCTTTGTGGAGGACATAGCTTTCAAGTCATAGGAAGAGACACAGCAGGAAAGTCCTAGCTATCATGCTATCATGATGGGGAGGAGGGAGTGAGTGTGACTAGAGTAACTTTTTTTGTGTGTGTGCTGAAACTTGAACCCAGGGCTAGGCAAGTACTCTACAACTGAGCTATACCCCAGACCCTTAGAGTAACAACTATTCTGCTATCATTTTTATTGGTAGCTGTGCCTCTTTCTTTTAAGTTGATGGGCCTAGAATAATTGAAGTTTCACAGACTACACAGCAAAACACTAAAAATTACCCCAAAAGGCATGGGAAACACATGCTATGGAAAGGCATGTGTTTCAAACAAGGACGAGAAAGGATCAGCTTGGATATCAAGAAAAGATTGTATTCAGACAGCAGCATATGAACTTAAAAGCATGTGAAAGGTTTTAAAGATTTTTTTTCTGATCACAGTAATAAATTTCATTTAATAATATAGAAAAACACAAAAGAAAATATAAATTGCAAAGTATTCTACTACTCAGATTAAACCACCATTACCAATTGGGGAGTATATCTTATTCATAAATATAAAGTAGATAAATATAAATACAAATATTAAAGTACATGAACATAAATATATTCATAGACAAATGTGATTGATGAGTGTTCTGACGGGGGAAATTGAAGGTTAAAAAAATCATGAGAAAAAAATACAATATGAGCACAGGCAGGGAAAAGAAAGGACAGAGACACAAGAGTGTTCCAGAAAGTGCACGAGCTGGGTTCAAAGGACTGGGTTCAAATCCTCCCTCTGCCTCTATGGAACCCCAGAAAGTTTTTAACCATGCTAACCTTGTTTCCTCCTGTATTTAGTGGGTATAATTGTACTTACTTGATAAGTAGTTTAGATTATCAGACACACCTTGTCTATGTGTATCAAGTTATCTACTAGCATACCCAGAGAATGGTAGTTTCTGAACAAGAGATGGTGTTGTATAGTAGGTGTCTGTATAGCTTCATGTGGTTCTGTGAGCAGAAGGGCAGCCTGAGGAAGCAGGATGAGGCTTCTCACCACTAGCAGCCTGAGAAAACAAGATGCAAACTGTCTCTCCCATTCAGTAGCTTGAGAAAGCAGGATGCAGACCATCTCCCATCCTGTTCCTTTGCTCTAAAATAGTTTTTTTAAGAAATCCCCTTAAAAGACGTTTTTCAGATACAATGTTCCACAATCTACCCTAAGGAGCATGCATCAATGACCAAGAGGCAAACTTTACTTCATTATAATACCAAAAATTTGCATCCAAGAAAGAGCTGAAGCCTTGTTTCCATGGAAAGTATAAAGGAGATGCTGTCAGACTGTGCCTGTGCAGGACCATTCTGCCCATGTGAGGATGCCCTTTCCCCTTGGGAATATACATTGCTGCACAAATAAAAAAAAAAAAGTTTGCTAGCTTTGGGGAGTCCTAGCTTTGGAAATGATTCCCTGTGTTCTCCTTACTTGCTGCAAATTTCACTTTATGTGACAAGTATTCTTGGAGTCTTGATCTGATTCAACTCCCACCAAGAAAGAGATGGACCCAGTGAGTCTGATGATAATTCTGCTGCTTCTGGTGGATAATATATCCAAGTAAGATGGAGGCCAGGAACAACTCACTCAGCCCATGGATCAAAAGGATTCCAGATCCTGGTTAGCCATAAGAGCACATTAGCCAGAAATGGTAACAAGCCTTTTGAAAACTATTAAATTGTCCTTAAGCAACAGCCCAGGGGCTGGGGTTGTGGCTCAGTGGTAGAGCGCTTGCCTCACCTGTGTGAAGCACTGGTTTCAATTCTCAACACATAAACAAATGAATAAAATAAAGGTCCAGCAACGCTTAAAAAAAAAAAAAAAAAAAAAAAAAAGCAACAGCCCACACAATTTCTAGAGACACCATAAGCTGCACAGTGCACTCAGTTCATTCTCATTGATTTGTAATTTCTCTTTGGTCAGCCATATTGTACTCAGCAACAGACCGAAGTTACTAGCTCAGTTTACTAGACTGTTATTTTAATACTCATAACTCATAGTTAGTATTTGACTATTGATTTACTTGGGTCAAGCAGAGATCATCTTTTTCTGATTTTCCCTCAAACAGGGCAAGCAGTTTCCTGTTCCTAGCAAAACCATTAGCACAGGGAGAGTCACTCAGGGACACCAATTTGGGTGAAGTATCTGTTTGCATAATTCATTTTTCTCCTAGAGCTATAAAAGTAATTGCTAATTCATCTCTGGCAAAGGAGACCATTACCCTGTCCTTACTGTGATTTGGATCTAATTTAGATGTCAGCTACACTTATGAGCCCTCAATTCATTAAGCTGTCAAGACAAACAGATGGAGCCTCGTAATCAGTATGAGGGCAGAATGGCTTGGAGAGCTTGGAGATCAGTCAATAAAAACCTATTTGCAGTACCATTGAGTATGGCAGTGCCTCCTGGAAAATTAGCTCATTCGGAGGATTAGCAGACCATAAAAATCACCATAAGTCATTATTGGGAAGACACAGTGGGAGAGATCAGTATCCAAGAGGTATCAGTATTCAAGGGGTATGGAAGGAAGATTGTAGGTGGCAGGTGATCAGGAGGGTCAGAGACCACTGCAGCACTAGCAGCTGTGAATGCAGCCAGTGTCACTGTCACTGTACTCAGTTGCTTGCTTCTGCAAAGAGGCAGCCTGCAGCATTCAACCAGTGTTGCATGGAGGCCTTCTGTGTGCAGGACACTAGCAAGCTCTGTGGAAGATTACAAATACAGATACAGCAGGAGTTCTGCTGCCAGGGTGCTTGTAACCCAATGTCCATGCATAACCACAGTGCTCAACATAATCCCACGTGACAGCAACAAGCCAGAGAACCCAGGTAGCAAATCATGTTTATCCTTTCCACTTGAAAGAGCTTTTGCCTGTGGTCAATAAAGAGCTTTTGCTTCTAGCAATCAATGATTTTTTTAATTTTTAGTTTTCGGTGGACACAACATCTTTATTTTATTTTTATGAGGTGTTGAGGATCAAACCCAGCACCCCGCGCATGCCAGGCAAGCGTGTTACCGCTTGAGCCACATCCCCAGCCCCAGCCTCGCAATCAATGATGTTTTTGTGTAATATACTCTCATATCTGTATAAATACAGATTATAAATAAAGCAATCTTATTAAAGTTATAAGCTTTCTAATTTTTAAAAATCAGGATATGTCCCACATAAAACTGAATACTAAAAAGATCAAATTTTGCCTTCTCAATATCTACTGAAAATATATTTAATGACAAAATGATATAAAATTATGTACATTTTTAAGACACGGTTGTGTTGTTCATTCTGAATATAATGTCTTCAAAACATAAAAGAAGGCAAACTTGAGTTTAGTCAGGAAAAGTCTGAACCCCACCTGCCCATTCTCCCCACAGGAATTTGAGGAGTTGGGATATATCCAAGATCCATTTTTAAGTGACAATCTCACAGGTTGTTGTTTGAAAATACTGCCATTAAAACCATCTTGTGTCAAGCCTAAAATTATGCAAATGTCTTTCTTAGGTCTGTTTAAGTGCTTTCCTGTTCAAATGACCCTCTTAGTATGGATGCTTATGGAAACTGCAAATCTGGCTCAGTCTGGTAAGAACACAGTGCTAAATAAAAAAAAAAAAAAGATTTTGGAAAATAAACTATAAAAATGATTAAAAAAAAGAACACAGTGCTATGAAAGTGAAGACAGTCTCATTATGGCCATAAATTTTATAGGGCTGTCCCCTCATCATTTGGTTCTC